CCTGCCGGCTCAGTTTCATTTTTCCGTCCACCAGTACCGCCAAGTCCTTCCTGCAGGACTGCTCTCAGTGTGTCAACACACCACACAGCTTGGTGTCATCTGCAAACTTGCTGAGGGTGCACTTGACCCCACTCTCTGTGTCACTGATGAAGATATTAAACAGTACTGGTCCCAGTGTAGAACCCTAAGGGACACCACTCATCACCAATCTCTATCCAGACACTGAGCCACTGACCATCCAACCAATTCCACATCCATCGAACAGTCCACCCACCAAATCCATATCCCTCCAATTCACATCAAACTAACCTGCTCTTTTAATCTAACTTCTTCCTATGGTCCTGGCTAGCCACACATCAAACTTCAAGGTGCTACAGGGGATACACCCTTCAGAGATGAATATTGTCAGGAAGGTCAGCGTTTCTCAAGCTGTGGAACACTACTAGGCTGTCAAGAGAAATGTCCACCTTCAACTCCAAGCACTACTGAAGGGTCATGGACTAAGGAGGCTCCAGGAAAAACCTCCCCCCGCCACCGTAAACTCATTTTGTGTGAAGTATCCTAAGAGACTGCCCGATTAAGTCACACAACTGTTAAGTCGCACACAGATTTCAGGTCTATTAGGAGAAATAAACAAAAACAGTAAAGTAAGCAGCAAGGAAAGCAAAAGTTTAAAGTTTGCATAAACATGTTCCTTTTTATCTATTAACATCCTAAGTCCTCAAAACCAGCAAAACACTGTAGCAGGAACATTGGCTAATTGACTGATGTAATTGCTCACATATTAATTTCAGGGCAGACCAGATACTGCTCCACGCTTTTCAGTCAGATTGTTAAGATTTTAGGTAGAAATTCCAAAATTGTTCATGTTATTTCTGCCCGTGATACCCACCTATCACTGCCACACTTAAGCCAATTCCTTTTGCAAGAAATTATTATTATATCTCAAATTCCGGGCCTGGGGGAAAATAGAAGTCACAGAAAACAGGTGAAGGGCAAAGTTCTACCCTACCATCATCCTACATGCACTGAGCAGCCTTTGGCACATGCGTCTTTCCAAAGTATAACATCCTTGTCCAGCACTGAAGTTAAAATAAACCATTACCCCAGTCTTCAAATACACACGGGTAACAATGTGTACTCAAATTGCAACGACTGTACAAAGATTGAGTTCTTTTACTTAAGTGAGGATTTTCACAATGGTGTGCAGTTTACTTACTTCAGTAATTTAATCTGAATTAATTTACTTTTAGAAGTAAGAATGATCTGTTTTCTAGAACACTATCATTCATAAATGTATACATACTTTAAAAATTAACCTAACACATTTTTCAATATACCTACGCATATTTCTTCTACCACTAAACAAGACAAACAAAAAACCCCATGCACTTGTTTCCTTGAGTTATTTTGCTGTTGCCTGTGAGTTCGGGGAAGTATGAAATGAAGCAGTGAGAGAGAACACAATGTAGTCCAGTTTTATCAAATGCGTATGTGACTTCAGACTTATGTCCAAGTATGCGAGATGGGATATTAACCTTAATTAGGGCAATGACACCTTAAAATCAGACAGACCTCAATTATTTTCTGGTAAATAAAAACTGAAAATTGTTGACTGTTTCTCTGAATCAAGTAATACATAGTACTTGATGCACAAAACACTCTTAAAAAGTTACATAACTTTGAAATAAAACTTTAAAATTCAGTTATTTGAAAAATATTGCATGGAAAGATATTGAAAACATCCTCTTTTCTCTGTCTTCAGTAACACTGCCTCTTCAAAAACAGAGTTTGGAAGACAGAACTTCAAAGAGTGGGGCTTAGTTTGATAGTCGCTATTATAAAAAGCTACCAGGAGAATAGGTCATGTATTTCAAGCCCACATTATTTTTGTGATAATTTGTTGTGATGGTTGTCCGTCAGTTATTCATATTTGTTTCCATGGTCTCTGTAAGACCATTACTTTTGTTTTCTTCCAGATAAGTAGCTCTTTTCTGAGTAAAAGTAGCAAACAGTGTATCCATCATTCCCAAAACTTCCAGTAGTTCCTCCTGATAGTCAATCTCTTTTCCTATGGCTTCCTGAAGTCTCAAGAATTGTCTGTCAACAATCGCTGACTGCCCAACCACCGGCTGATAGATGTCTGTAAAGAAAAAAGTCATTTAAGAATCAACATATCTTTAAAAATATGAAAATTACATTAGCTAGTTAAAGACAAATTTAAGGAGTCTGGCACAAGTCCGACACCATGGACAAATAAGACAACTTCCACGTGTACTGAAACCAGTGTTAATTATTGGTACATACTCACAGCAACAGCAAGTCAAACTAACAGAAACGTAAGTTTTTACAACCTCAAATACTATTTTTACCCCGCTGGAGATGCAGAAGCCACTTGTACTACACGAGTATAGAAACATGAAGTATCAAAGATACTTAGAGACAAGGAGGAGCTTCCTGCAGCCAGTGCAAATGAGATACTGACTGTGGTCAAAGTTATCTGGCAACATCTCTTTCTGGATCATTCTCTTCACACGGAGTTCACACTTACAAACAAACCCACACAGGTCCGGTTTCTTAAACATGTAGCACTTTTTACCTTATTTCCAAGCTAGCTATATGGCTTTGGGAATCTTTTTTGTGTTGTACTTACCAGTGATCATATCTGCAACAGTCACCAGCACAGGAGTAAATCGAGGCTCAATCACACGCCTGCAAAATTAGAAGACATCCCAATTTTACTGGTTTTGCCAAGCTGCACTCCTCCCACCACCAAGCACCTTTCTCATACAGGCACAGACAGTTTTTTCTTCATGAAGAAATGTCACGGAACAGCAGTCAGATACACGGGTCAAAAAATGCTACATGTGGTATTTACCCTCCTCCTCTCAGGAAAGCAGTGCAGGCTGGAGGGCTGGCAAAAGCCTCGGGTACATAAAGACACAAATACCTTCAAGGAGACTGAAAAAAACAGACTAAAGGTAGAATGTCTGGCAGAATAAAATATACTCCCTCGCACTGTCAGCAAATTTTATTTTGTGTAACAGGCGAACTGGTTCAGCACTGCAAGTGAAGTCCCAGACCTTGGTATCAGAAAGCAGAAGACATGAGATTTCAAAGAGCAACAGCATTCCACCCATGACCTGTTGAGACTCTGCGGCGAAAGCTATTAAGAAATGAGAACTCAAGTTAAAATAATACCTTGCCACGAAGGTCAGGAGGAGATTAATTTGCTTCTCATCTCGGCCTGCAAGCGCACTCCTCAGTGTTCCTCTGCGATGTAGCTCCTGCATGACTGCAACCGTAACTTCGGGCGTATAAAGCCTGATGGGTGGCTGGACATACACAAGAAGAGTTCAGTACCAAAGCAACATCTTTACACAAACCAGGGCTGATACCATCAACACCGAAAAGGCACCCACACAAGTTTGATTCACTTCTAGTTATACACGGAAAGAAAATTAGTTTTTGACACACAAAAAAATTCACGTGACATCGCAGCACACAACTCCGATGAGGCAACAAACAATGCCTTACCTCCAGTACTGCATCAAGGGCCTTGGAAGACTGAAAGCTCTTCAGCAGCTTGTCATATTTCCTCAAAACACGTTTTACAGGTTTACTGACACAGAAATCTTCCTAGAATTGAAAGAGAAGTTCAGAATAAGACAGACACAATGGGTTAGATGTATTAACCACGAATTAGCTTGTATGTCCTTTGTACCTCCCCTCCCTTTCTTCAACTTGGCACACACCTCCCAAAAAAAAAAAAATCTTTCGAGTGCTGCTTCAATATACATTTTCTCACTCCCCTATACCTGTTTTGGCATGTAAGTTCTTCCTTTCACATAGGTTCTATATGCTGGTTGTCTCTTATTTTGAGACTTTTCTTTCGTTTCTTCAGGTTTTCGGTGTTTAACATTTAGCACCCCATTGGTCATTCCTACAACTATGGTTTCATCTTCAGGCTAAAATGAAGAAAACACAGAGTTAGGAACCTAGTGCTTTATTTGATGATGCATGCTCTAACATGCAGATTTTTAAATTTTTATGCTCCATGATAAGGCTCTGATCACAGCATCACAGAATAACATAAATTAGAAGGGTCCTCCGTGAGGTCCCTGTGGTGAAATACCTTGTTCAAAACAGGGATCGCTTCAAGGCTATGATTGTAAGCAACACTATCGAACTTATAAACCTTTAAAAAATACCTGGAGGGACTATAGCCTAACCAGTGAAGCAACCTCAAACATGCATTAACCTCCTTCTGCAAGCATCCCCTAAGACAGGTTTGGGTATTTTCAGTGGTGTACAACTGCCATTGAATCTTACATACCATAAAGCAGACATGAACACCACCTATGAGAAAGCTAGGATAGCGCAGCAGGGTTTTGAGAAACAGGTGAAAGTTGTTCAAAGCACCGGTCACTGGTATAGCTTTCACCTACCTAACAAAGGTTGCACGTACTTGATGCTAAAGGTTGTAATTTCACATGATGCGCTGAAAAAACCCCACTGACTTCACATATAAAATAGTGAATTCTGACCTGTTACTATTAACAGATAATTCTATGAAGACATTAAATGTTAGTTGAACGCTCAACTGCTGGTAAGAAACATACAAACGAACAAGAAGTGCTAGGAATTACTACAGAAGAAATGAAACCTAGAAAGTCATTATGCCACTGAATAAATCAATTGTTGACCCTGATCTTAAATCCTACGCAAGTCATTCTCAAAAAAAGTAACAGATTCAGAAGAAAAAAACCCTGAGGAACATCAAAGATTGACTTGATTCAAGACAGAGCTCTTCAGCATGGGAAAAAAAGCAATTCAGACAGGATATGATAAAAGCCTACAGAATTACGACAGGTATGGATGGAGATCAGGTGGCCAATGTCTGGTTTAGGGCCAGCAAATTAAGCTAATGAAGGCTCAAATGGAATAAAAGGAGGCAATTCTTCACATAAGTAGCAAAAATACGGAACTCCTTCATCAAGGAATCCAGTGAAGGTTAAAAGTTTATCCAAGCTCACGGAGAGATTGAGTAGGTTTGTATAAGAGAAATTCTTTGAACTGTGCAGAAACTACACTCTGAGGAACTAATTTCTCATCTGAAAATGAGTCTGGGAGAGTATCAGGAAACTTACCATACACACTTGTCCTGGTTTTAGTTTTCCGTAATGTATGGCTATAGTTGGAAGCAGCGTCTGGAATTAGTCCAGCCTTTGGTTTGACCCAGCAGAGCCAGTCTTATGTTCTCATAAGGCCATTAAAAACTCAAGGGCTTTAGTCCACAGGAAACAAAATATTATGTTTCAAAACATACACACAGAGCTCTAGAGATGCCAAACCACAGGTATGACTCCCTTTAAGCCTCTACAGCAGCCAAAAAACGTATGGGTGGGGCTTTTTGCAGTACTCTTCACCTCAACAAAATAATTCAAAACTCATTGAACTCTAGCTCCCTAGGGAACAAGGTAGGAAATGAAGAAGACACCCCCTCCACACACACTTTCCCCTAGGTTCCAGAAGTGCAGGACAATAGTAAAGTAGCAAAGGTGGTAAAGATCCCTCACAGTGCCTTTTATGGAACCTCTGAAGGACATGTTAAGAAGGTGACTACATGACAACAGCATTGTTTTAAAACAAGAGGTGCTAGCCTCCAAATTGCTGGCCAGCAGCTCACTTACCACAGGAACACAAATGTTTCAGATAAATGAGTCTTTGTTTTCCGTTTCCAAGACAGTAAGACACATGCCTTGGCAAACAAGTCTGTTTATGCTCATACTTCATGTCATCTCCTCCTTTATTCCTCACACTAACCTGACACCAACAACTTTTAAAACAAGTTCAGCCCATTCTAAATTTCTCAACAAATTAATACTGTTTTTTAGTTTTACCACTGCCACACAAGAGGACTCACAAGGTTCCTGACAGGCAAAAAATGAATGCACTCTTCTTAAAGTCAAAGCACTTCCCTCCAAATAAAATAGTTGCCCTATGACATACAGTATCCTTGATAAACACACAATTTTGCACAGATCTGATCAGGTAACAACCGGTATCTGAATGTATTATGTTTAAAACCTCTTAATGAAGTTTTTACACAGGAGGAATATATTCAGTCATACTACATTGCATATGCAACATTCCTCTGAAACATCCAATAGCAATGAAAGCCAAATGAATTAACTTCAGCGACTCTGAAGGTATCAGTAATTACCCTGCCTATAAAGATTTCTAATGTACTTACCGACAATGCAAGACTGAGGATGGATGTGGCATAGTTAAAGCTGTGGACTACTTTGTAGGAAGTAGTACTGTAAATCTTCACATGCCTATACAGAAGAGCAATGATTAAAACCTCGTTACGTATGATTGACTGTAGACACTTTACAGGAATTTCATCACTCTAAACTTCTACAGATCTTCTAAGGAAACTGAGTAATTATACAAAGCATTCTCCAGACTACCATTGAGCTTTAGTTATTGCCTCTCCTGCAACAAATAGATGCTGTTAAAAGATACACAAAGTCAAGAAAGGATTACCCTTACCCAAAAAACATGAAAATTGGGCAAGGAGAGAAGAAGAAATTGAAGGCTGATGTAGTGACTATCTGAATTTAGCAACGCTTATTAGGAAACACTGACAGCATTTCTTCAAATTTGTTCTTAAATCTAAGATCTATTGCCAATTTCTGAAAGTAAATCCATAGATAACCTTGTATCCAGCTGCTCTTTAATAATCTGGTTGAAGGTAGGGAATATTTCACGTGGGGGAAAACAAAACGTTTTCTTACAACAAGCATAATCTTTAGGGCGTGAGCACTGAACGACAAGCAGTTGCACAGCCAGTGTCGTCCTTCAGCTTATGCTTTGCAATCATAAAGCATGAGGAAGTCTAGGAAGTACAGGAGGGAAGGAGGTAGGAAGAGAACAGACAACTGTCATTCCAGACCCCTTTATAGTTCTGTTCTCTCAAAGACAACAGACTGAGTACTGGTACCCAGCAACTCGCCCCAAACAAACAAAAAAGCAAGGGGGACATATTTCACCTGTATACCTTGGGTACAAAAAGCAACAGCACAGAGACAGAAAAACCAGGCTCTTTAAAAGTGAGTGCTAATACACTTCCAGTTATTTAAAATATACTAAAGAACAGTTACTTTACAGAGACTGCAAAAGTCAGTTTAGAGATTCAGAAAAATGAATGCTTATTCAGAAGTTCCCCACACACATTCCCAAACGGCATATGCCACCCCTCCTGACATCCAGGCTAACAAGAAAAGGTTAATGTATATCGTAGTATGTACCCTGGCCCCACGACATGCTTTTAATTAAGTTATATCTGTAACAGTTAGAAAACATGCACAGATTCACTTTCAAACATTCAAAGGGCCCTAAAGAATTTGTATCACAACAAAACCACAAAACATACTAACCTGTCCAAGGACCCTGACAGTAGCCTTTGTCCAGAGCTGTTCAGGCATAAACAAGTTACCGTTTTATGGTGATTTTTAAGTGAAACTAGTAATTGTCCACCTTTTAGTACATCCCAAACTTTGACATATCGACCTCCTGTGAGAAGGAAGCACACAAAACAGTTTGACATTTATGCTTCTCTGCATACAGTGCCTCCTTTGTAACACAGAGTTTTCTGTACCTATTCACCGTCCGCAGCCATTGTTACCATCTCCTGGGACAAGACACGCTACAAGCCTGCCTTTTTTTTAGGCCATTCTGCAGGCAGAGCTGAATGATTCAAGTCACCCCTTATCAAAAATAATCTAGATACCACTGGGTTACAGGACTTCTGATGCAACAGCAAGAAGAGACTAAAAATCCGTGTCATCATTAAGAGAAAGATACAGTCCCATCTTTTCAAAGCTGCTTAAGTATGTTCATTCCTTCACTTCAGCGCTGGGCTAATTAAAGTCTGTACCTTGTCATTAAAACTGTCTGGGGTTTTGGACCAACTACAAGAAAAAAAATCAAATGGGAGACAAAAAGACCCCCTACCTTCACCCTCCAGATCAACACAGACTCTTAAAGAACACCTTTGAGAAATCCAGCTGTTAGCTCACTTACCACTCGCTGCCAAATGAAAACACCACACAAGAAAAGAAGCAGGTGTAGTATTTCTCAACTATCTCACAAAGAAAAAGAAATTTCATTTTACTGAAGTACCTGCAGATACCAGAAGCCCACCAGAAGGAAACAGAAGCACACTCTCCACAGGCTGGCCATGTTCTATTGTCATGACACTACTTTTTGTTCGTGCATCGAATAGTTTCACAGTGTGATCATAGGAACCTGCAAACAACACCATAAATAGCTTCAGTTTCATCATTTCAATTATTTCAGGAACTAAAAAAGCCACGTCCTACAATCTGAACAAGCTCCTGCCAAACAGAAACCATTTTAAACCGTATACTTAGAACACCTTGTGGTTAAGCTTGGTTAATTTACAGCCTTCAGGCAACATAAGTCTACTAGTTCTACCCCTAGTAACACGTCAGGCCTTAAAACCATTTTAAGTTAATTTTATTTCCCTTCCATTAATCAAATGTGTTTGTAACAACAAGTATCAGGCAAACTGATGAAACCCAGTCTCTTGTGCCTCATGAAGCAAGGAACACTAGTGTTTTGATAGCAATTTACCTCAAATTAATAGAAAGCTAGTGCTAGGAAAGCCAAAAGCAACTAGTTTCAGGGAACTCCTCATTCAACCTTTCATTTTTCAGTCTGCCATTTTGGGCTGTACAAACTAGAATGGTACCAGTGTCCTCCTTGGGAAATCTGATAAAACACTTTAGTCAATCCCAGCTAAAGGCTACATTCACAGCATTTCGTAAAACTTTCAAGGACCAGTCACATTAACCCTAACAGGCTAAAGCAAAAAGATGTTAATAATCAGTTTGCTCAAAAAACCCTACAAACATCAGTGTCAAGATTAAAAAGCAAGCAAAAACGAAACAACAAAGTAGGCACTGAGTAGAAAGACAGGTTGTCCATGTCTAGAGTGTAACAAACAAGATCCTACTGTATTAAAAACTATCTTTCTGCATTTTTTCTTCAATTCAATCCCAAAGAAACATACAGATAGAAGAAAATCAAACCTGTTACAAAGACATCTGCATTCACTTTACTTGCACAGCCGCATCTCACATAGTCAGTGTGTTCGCTGTATGAGACGATTTCTGTAGCACTTGGAATATCCCAGAGATTTGACGAATAATCATCACCACCAGAAAATATTCGGTATTTATCAGACAGGAAGCCCACTACATGAACAGCTCTAGGAAGCAAAGTCCACAATATCCATAGTTAAATATATACTCGTTTCTAGAACAGTCGGTCTGTATGAAGAGCTCATTAAAGTATTCCAGCTTGAAAGTACAAACTATTTACTATTGGAAGCCACAAAGCCTCACTTTAGAGGTTAAAAATACTTTAGGTTTTTTTATATTTCCAGAAAAGGGTCATGCTGACAGATATTTACCTAAATACTGATATGATCTGCACTGAAGTTTTTACAGGTCTACTAGATGCCTATTCAAAAGCTGTAAATTCTGCATTTGTTAACTTCAAAATCACTATTAAATCTGTGTTATCATCATAACATCCCCACAGAGAATAACTTTAACAGAAAACACCAACACCCTGAATGTTATTGCAGTTAACCTAGTGGTTAGGATATCAGATAATATCCGATCTACAACTACAGACCTCAAACAGAACCACACTCAAGGTCTACCTGTTTGCTTTCCTCTGAAAAGTGGTTTCTTGTTGTTCTAGAGAGATGAAACACCTATTTGTCTTCCACAGCCCATTAATCTGTTTAACCTAAGCATTATCATTGTCTTCTCCTCACTGGTATATCAGAACTCCTCTTCTAACACCTTCCCCACCCAAAGCCCACCCCACCATCATGTCCTTTTCTGTTCTGCTCTTTTAAGGGATTCCCACTGTTCCTGGCACACTTCTTCGCTGGTTTTGTTTAGCCCCTTTTTAGAACTTTTTTCCTGCCAGCATCAAATAAAACACTCTTATCAGCCCCACAAGACTATGCCTACACAACACAGGAACAGACATCTACATGAATCAGAAAATGTATTTATTCTTCCATGTACTCAATTCATATTTAGACTTTTTAAAAGGTCACTCCAATTCCGAATTGTGCTGGTTTTGCTTGGGACTGAGCTGGTTTTCTTCAGAGTGGCTGGTATGAGGCTGCGTTTCGGATTTGCATGGAGAAGAGCACTGACTGCACCGGTGTTTTTAGCTGTTTCCAAAGAGCTATTGTACCGAGTCAGGGCCTTTTTCAGTTCTTGGTGCCGTGCCTGTGTTCCCAGCCTCTTCAC